ATGGCTCTGATATGGTAAATATGATGTGGAATCATTTTTCGTATAATTTGTCAGAGGCAACTGATGTATATGTGCCTAAGTTCGATGTTAATCATAAACGGTATAAGATAAATTTTCCTATGGATTTGGTAGCATTAATATAATATAAATGTAAATTACGGAAGAAATTAGTTAAATCAAAATCAGTTCTTTTGTTAAATGAGTTTAATAAAGTTAGACACAAGGTTAGGAAATATGTTAACTTAGTTAAAAATAATTATATATTGAATCTAGCTAAAAACATTAAGAATAATCCAAAGGCTTTTTGGCATTTTATAAATGAAAAAAGAAAATCAAAGGGTAATATTGAGATTTTATCTAGGGTTGATGGTTTGGGTAATAAAGTAAATATAAGTAACAAACGGAAAAGGCTAATATATTTGAGGTTTATTTTAGCAGTGTGTTTAGTATGCCTGCTGGAATAATTTTTATTTTATTTATTTATTTAACACAGCTGATCAGAGGGCCACAACGGACCACTTACCCAATCAGGAAGAAAAAAAGAAATGTTATAAAGCTAGACAATTGGCAGACAGATAAAAAAGTCAACACAAAAAAAACAAAAAAGGAAAACATTTAACAAAAAGTTGCATAGTTATTCCTAACATTTCATTAATATATAGATCGAAAAATAAGTAATTTTCAAAACGTTCGGTAGTGTTTGAAATACATACGAACATCAGATAATGTTTTAAAAAAAACCATTGTTAAACAAAATACATAATATATTCCATAAATAATTGATTATTATATGAAAACAAAAATCAACAAATTAATTTATTGATCAATTGTAAAAAAAAACGCTTCAAGTCAACAGAGAGTAGTTTGCGTCTAAAAACATCATAAGTTGGAGATGAAACAACTTCATCCGGTAGCGCATTCCACACTCAAACTACTCTGTTGAAGAAGAAATATTTTGTAGTATTATCGCTTGAGTTGCATTCACGAAGTCTCTTGCCATGACCACGAGTTGACAAATAATGAGGTGGAACAAAATTATCTTTCAAATGTTGAACAGTGAGATTGTTAAGTATCTTGTATAACAAAAATAAATCAAAAATCAATCGGCTATGTTCCAATGTTTGTATTTTGACAAAGTGTAAACGAGACAGATACGGAAGATGGTGGATTAAAGCAATGGCCTTAGCGAATCTTCTTTGAACTTTTTCGACTTTAATAATTTGATATTTATAGTGAGGACACCAGACAGTTGAGCAATATTCCAGTAGAGGACGGACATAAGTGCAAAAAGCCTTGTTGAGCAAATCTTTATCCTTGGATTTTAAACATTTAATAATAAGACGAGCACCGGTAAAAGATCTATGCGCAATGTTGTTAATATGATGTTTAAAACTTAGTTTATTAGCAAATATTACACCTAGATCTTTAAAATATTCGACAGGTGTCAGAATGTAATTATCAATCACATACTGATTTATGGCAGTAACATTTTTTGAACATGGTAGAAATGAGCAAAGAGAACATTTGTTAGGAGAAAGCGGTAGTTGCCATCTGATACTCCATGCGATAACATCGTTGATGACCTGTTGCAGTTTGAATGAATTTGATGAACCGGCATACAATTTGATATCATCAGCAAAAAGCAGCATAGAGACATGTTGAGATGAAAGGCAGTCTTCAATATCATTGATGAAGATGAAAAACAGAGTGGGTCCCAGAACGCTGCCTTGGGGTACCCCACTTGTTACTGCAACTGGACTGTTTATTTTGAATCTTGACTAACTGTGAACAGTTATATCAAAAATCTGTCAACCATCCGAGCAAATTTCCGCCAATGCCATATGCTTTTAGCTTACAGATTAGCCTTGTGTGCGAGACTGAGTCGAAGGCCTTTTGAAAGTCGAGATAGACTGTGTCGCATCTTTTCTTTCTTTGGCGAATTAATAACAGATCGCTTAGAAATCTGAGGAGGTTAGTAGATGTTGATCTGGTAGACAAAAACCGTGCTAAAATTTGGATATTAAATTGTTGTTTAAACAAATAAGATATTATATTGTTCTTGATTAATTTTTCCATAACCCGACAAGATGAGCAGGTAAGTGATATTGGTCTATAATTGCTGGGGTAATTGGTCAGACCCTTTTTATGGATTGGAGTAACAATTGCTTTTTTCCATTTTGTTGGTAGAGAGTTAGTTTTGAATGGCGTATTAAATATGTGACAAAATGGAAGAGCCAGACTTGAAGCACACATTTTGAGAAACCTGTTTGGTATTCCATCCGGGCCCACTGATGTTGTATTTTTCAACTTGCGCAGAGTGAGATACACAATCTGTGGAGTGAAGCGAATGTCATTCAATGATTCTGTTGTACGATTTGATAGAGAACAGTTGCTTTTATCATCGATGGTGAAAGCGGAGGAAAAATACTCATTGAACATATTTGCCATCACAACAAGATCAGTAGTTACATTGCTATCACTATTATTAATATTGTTGTTAATTATTAAACAATTATTGTTATTATTGTTGTAACTATTGTTAATGCTACCATTATTATTATCACCACCATTAGCAATTGCAATTTTATTATAACTAATTCTATCCTTAAGAATATCAATACCAATACTTACATCATTATATCGAGTAATCGGTGCCTATTCAGGTATCTAAGAGACTTAATTCGTGATTCTATGCTCATTGGCATAGTTTCAGAAGCGTCTTAAGTTCTCAAAAGTGGATTTAGTACGAGACTCTATG